CAGATTTAAGAAGTTGTACGTCAAAATCAACCACAAAGAGAATTCTACCTAGATAGATATGTTGAGGAATAGGGACATAAAATATTAAGAACTCCTCCATATCACTGCCATTACAATGCGATAGAGATGGTATAGTTACAGTGCAAACGGTTTTATGACAAAAATTTAACAACAAAGTCGTGACCGGAAGATGTATTTCAAAATACTTTACTCTTGAGCAAAATTCATAGTTTTTGACAAACCTCGTATACGGCTTGAAAAATTTGATATCTGATGACTGTATTTTAAGTTTAGGGTCATGCAGGACTTTTTATCAAGAATAACTTTTTTTCCTAAAATCAATAATAAAAATGTTTTCCATATGGTTCCAACTTAAGTAGACACACTGTATAAATAGTTCATCGCAAACTAAAAATAGTCGTATATTGTTAACTACATTTAAACGTAGAAAAATTTACAATTATATACCATAGGATGTATACAAAAAACGTATAATATATCTTTTAAAATACGGCATGTATAATAATCGTAAACTGTAAACGTATACGGAATCAACCAATACCAAAATTAAACGAGTATTACGTATAAAATAAGTTAGTTATACTAATGTGTGCTGCCTGGGGCATTAAGGGAACATTTAACTGACTCATCACTCCATCACAAGATTTCAATTACATGTAAATAAATATTCTAAATTTAACAGGTTAGGTAACTGCCATTTGAATCATATATGATTCACTCAGCCCCAAACGTTTTTGATTTGTACGCCGCGTGCATATTCTATTTACTGGAGTGCAGTCAGTATACGAGTAATTTTTTAGGAAATATCTGTGCTTATTTTCTATATGGAGTGGCCCAAAAGTCTGGAAACAGCCAATTATCTCGTAAATTGCTAATCCTAATTGTACAAAATTTGGGGTACACCTATTTTGGGATACGGAGATTTCAGATTTGATATTTGCAATGTTGCCAGATTGCCAGATTATATTATTAGTCACGTTGGTTTTTCAAATTCATCACCCTGTATATTCAGTCATTATTTGAATCTATTTAATACGAGTTCAACCATATGTAACACTCATGATTGCCGGAGAGGCCAGCCGCGAGTTTAGTGTGCATCCACATACTCGCAACAGTTAAGCAGTGAAGGCTCCGGTCACGCCGTGGATGCGTGACCGCTGGGAGGTTCCACCATGGGTTGTGTCACCATGGGATTCATCCGACTAGCGTTTAACCATCGACGACGTGGAATGAATGAGAATGAATGGGGGTGTAAATGGAAAAGTAGTAGGACCTTCAAATGGTGGTACAATAAGCCGCAGACTGCAGTGCTGCCAGACTACAGACGGATTAGGGTGTAGCACGGGAGGTCTGAAGGGTGTAAAACTAAAAACTAAAAATGTAGTCTGGAAGGTCTTAAATAAATAAAACAATTATGGAGAAATGTGGTAGACGCATTCTACCATTGATTAGGGTACTGTCAACTCACAAATGAAGCACATTTTGAACACTTGATAAAGTAATCATTATGTTAAAAATGTTATAAATGTAGTTGAAAATAGTTTGTACTAAAAAATTTATTGAGACAATTAGGCGTTGCCAGACTTATTTTATTTATTCAAGACCTTCCAGGCCACATAAAATCATAAGTGTTACATATGGTTGAACTCGTATTGAATAGGAGATTCCAATAATGATTGAATATACAGGGTGATGAATTTGAAAAACCAAAGTGACTAATAATTTAAGAGAAACCGCAAATCTGGCAACATTGCAAATATCAAATCTGGAATCACCGTATCCCAAAATAGGTGTATCCCAAATTTTGTTCAGCTAGCAATTTACGAGATAATTGGCCGTTTCCAGACTTTTGGGCCACTCTGTATAAGAAATGAACAATTAAAAAAAAATTATTTACTGGCTTTCGCATTTTTCGAAGAAAAACACACGCTTAAACCCTGGAAGGCAGTACTAGACTGTTTACCTACTACACTTTTGAGGAAGCGTTGCATAAAAGTTAGTTGCAGATTTGTCAAAACTATAAAAGACTATAATTCACGTGGCCTTGAAGCTTTTGGGTGAGATTACAGAACGTCTGCAACTTTGCAGATCTGCAAATATGGCGGCAACTTTGAAAATCTGCAAATATGACTGACTTACACATGCAAGTATCAAGTTTTCGTATTCCAAATTTGGGTTTAGTGTTGTTGGGGGTAATAAACCACAATAAATATTGCGAATTTGCAGATATTTTTTGGAATACTTACATTTGTTAAGTCCGCCATATTTGCAAAGTTGCAGATGCAAAGTTGCAGACGTATTTTACAAAAACAATCAAACCCGTATCGACTCAATTTTGAATTGGAAATTGGGTTTTGTTTGTCATTTTCATCCGACAACCATTTTAACTGTCAAAAAATCCTATTAATATGTTCCAAAATTACGAGAATATGGTTCTATAATATACTTTCTGGGACAATTGAATCTCTTACTTTCCAACGATCTCCAAAAAGCCATTATAAATACAAAAATAAAATAAATAAATTATTAACATCAATATAACATAAACCGAAAACGCTGCATAAAATCAAGTACTATCATGTAACACCAAATATGGTCAAGCAGTACACGTGGACTGAATCGGATACGTAATAGAAATAAACCATGAGCCAATAGAGTAGCAGCAACACTCGTTGAGCGGTGACAAGGCACAGAGTTGTCGAGCATAAATTAATGCTAGTGTATTAGGTACCTAAACTAGTTTTCGAAACACCGTCCATAAATTATAAATTACAATAGTACATTTTATTTTTGCAATTTGACAACTGTGTTTTAAATGTTCGCTTTGCTGCTTTTATGCCAGTAATACTGAAATCTGATAAACAACGTAAAATAATTCTGGGCTACACTTTATGTATTTCTATTTGGCATTGGTTTCAAAACCAACTGGCCGGTCAAGCTTAACTTAACTTTAATAAAATGTTTTGCCTATTTTCTTGGTAGGTTTTTAACCGACTTCAAAAAAAGGAGGAGGGTCTCAATTCGTCGCAATATTTTTTTTAATGTATGTTCAGCGATAATTCTTTAACACGGTGTCCGATTTCAATGATTCTTTTTTTGTTAGAAAGGGCGTACTTCAGGGGTGGTCCCATATAAATTTGGTCAAAATCTAATAATTGGGTCCTTGAGAAAATCCTCAAACTCTTCATTTTTTATGTATGTTTAGCGATAATGCTTTAACACGGTGTCCGATTTAAATTATTCTTTTTTTGTTAGAAAGGGCGTACTTCAGGGGTGGTCCCATATAAATTTGGTCAAAATCTAATAATTGGGTCCTTGAGAAAATCCTCAAACTCTTCATTTTTTATGTATGTTTAGCGATAATGCTTTAACACGGTGTCCGATTTAAATTATTCTTTTTTTGTTAGTAAGGGGGTACGTCAGGGGTGGTCCCATATAAATTTGGTTAAGATGTAATGGCATCTGCACGTTTTTGAAGTCGGTTTTTTTAAAATTTTTAATTTCTAATATTTGTAAACGACCCATGACCGGTCAAAAATTGGATGGTATAATAGTACATTCGTCTAAATTTGCAATTTATCCAGGGTTCCAATCTTGATATTTTTGTCCATTGTGCCTTTTCGGTAGGGTCGTTCCATCTTGTTTTCCAATTGCCATCGACTTATGCTTTCTCTTCTCGCGGTTTCCTTTTTATCACTTTCGAACCAACCATGCCTGTGTATGTCATATCTTTCTTGTGCGAGGATATCCACAGGTGGAGTTCCCGTTGTTATTGTAAGCACTTCTGTTGACACCGCTTTGTGAGCACTACCAATTCTGAGTAGGACCTTTCGTTGCGATCTTGCTATCAAATTCCTGTACTCGTTGATTGCAAGTGCTTTGCACCAAATTAGGGCACCGTATAGAAGAATAGAGTGCACTTGGTCCTCCTGCACTTGGTCCTCCAATGTTCGGCATTAACCTGGCTCTTTTTCGCACGATCTACTAATGTGTACTCCAAAAGAGCACTGATGATCTATATGTGTGCCAAAGTACTTTATGGATCTCTGATCTTTACCCATTTAGTGTCTTTTAAGATGACTGCTTCCATTTTTTGAGCTGCTAACTGTAGCTTCATAGTTTGTAGCCAGTACTCAACCTAATGGATACTGAAAATCCTCCTTATTTGTCGCTTGGACCATTATTGCAAGGTCTTCTGCATACGCTACACTTTTACATCCCTCTGCTAGTTGCAAGTCTAGAAGATTGTTGTAGATAATATTCCAGAGTCGGCGCGAGGACCGATCCCTGCAGGACGCCAGCTGTTACCTCAGGTCGACGTTTTTCTCTAGTTTAATCTTGCGCTCCGAGAAATAACTATAATTGCAATCAGGTATTCGGGAATGAATTCCTTTTTAAACTACCAATGATTAGTTTCCAAGCTGCTGAGTTAAAAACGTTTTTAATGTGTAGGTCTATCATCGCCACCCATTTGTATGTCGATGTTTTCAAAAATTCCATGACCCATTCGACTGCCATTATGGTGCCTTTCTAAAACCAAATTGACATATGGATAATCCTTCCGTGTCAAGTGTCAATCATCCTTTCGTACACTTTACCAAACTCGTCTAGTAGGAAATTCCTGTTGGCTTTTACGTACCCGATTATCTACCGACCTGATCGTTGTACCTAAAACATATCAAAGGCGTACGGAATTTTTATAAATTCATCACATTTTGCATCTTCTACGAAAATTTTCCATTTTAATAATAAAAAGTCTAGCACTAAACAAAATCGAAGATAATTTCTACACAATCAATCTAATTTACTCGAAAAGTATAACTGTATCAGAATCAGCTGTGAACAAGGTACTACTTAAATACCTAGCAGTTGGCATATAATGCTCTTTCTTAGATTAATTCGTTTGTTCCGATTGGGTTTTCTTATTATTCTTACTCTTTCTTTATAATCAACAAGTTCATACTTTGTTATTATTACAGTTTCTGATGATCCAATCAGTAGCACATCATCAGACACGTTTGATCAATCAAAAACGACAGATATGAAGTCAGTGGATGAACCAGATCGAGCTCAAACTGAGGATCACGTAGGTGACTTACTAGAAATGCAGGTTTCGAATGAAAAAATTACAGAGGACGTAGAAGATTTGGTTCACGATTTAGAGAGTTTGCTAGGTGAACCGCAGGAAGCGTTCAATTTGCCCAGTAAAAAGGACGCAAACTGCAAAGGAGATGCTTCAGCAAACGTAAAAACTGATGAAAAAAATGATGTTAAAGAAGGTGCGTTTTTTTTATTTAATTATTTTATCTTAATAACGTCTTATAATTTTTACAGATAAAGTTGAAAAAATTGAAAACAGTATAGATGACACAACAACTGGCACTGCATCCAATTTAGCAGATGATACCAAGGACATCAATATAAAAGAAAATTCAGAATCAAATTTAAAACCTGCTTTAATACTACCTAGCGTTGAAGAGAATTTATCTACAAATAAGGATAATCAAGATATATCTGAAAGTACTGGAGAAAGCAGTAATGCAGATGCTGATAAGGATGCAACAAGTAAATCCGCTGAGGAAACGATATCATGTACTCCAGTAGATCAAATTGCTTGTGAACAAACTTCTCAGATTAATCCTAATGACTCCGCAATTGCAGTATCAACTCAAAAAATTGAAACAACCAATCTACCAGTCGACGATGACTCGGATAGTATTGGCAGCTGGGAGCTGGTGAACGCAGAAGCTTTAAGTCCAATCCCTGGACCCTCTGGCGAGCCAATTCAAGCACCAATCGATACAAATACCGCTGAAGATATAACTTCGAGTGAAGATAAAGCTTCTTCTGCCGAAACTAATAAAGAAAACGAAGAAAACCGAGAAGCCGATAGCGTACAAGCAGAACAAAAGGATGATAGCGAAGAACCAGATGTTGAAGATCAATCTGAGCAGTTAGTTAGTGAGCAAACACCTGATAAAAATGGTGATGAAATTAGAGAAGCTGAACCATCCGAGTCTAATGAACTGACTAAAGAAGCAGAAGTAGCGGCTTCTCAAACAGAAGAAGAATCTGAGGCTGAAAGTGAGACCAACCGGAACGCAAATGCATCTCAGAATGTCGAGTCGCCAGTAGAAATAACGTCTAGTGAAGTGGGTTCCAAACCTGAAACAGACATTCAAGAAACCACAGTCGAAGAAAATTTAGAAGCTACTCCAATGATTGAACCATCTGAACCTAAAGTTGAAAGTCAGCCCTCTGTTTCATCAGAAATTGACGAAACAAAAGCAACTGAAGCAGATATGGTCGATCAGAAGGATATGCCAATAGAAAATGTTGAAGAATGTCCAAAAGATGCAGAAACCGAAGAAACTGATATTGCAGAATGTTCCGATTCACTGATAGGTGTAGATTTAGTTGAAACAGTACCCAAATCAGAAGAACAGGATGAAAATACGACAAATGAACCACTGGCTTCCACGAAAACAGATGTTGCAGATGAACCAATTGAAAAACAAGCAGATGTGACTGAAGAAAATGCAACTCAGGTTGAAGAAGACGTAAAATCAGATGGCACTGAAGCAAAATCATTGCAGGTTGAAGAACATGTGAAACCAATTAAAGAACTAGAATATGTAACTGAAGAAAATACAACTCGGGTTGAAAAAGACGTAAACTCAGATGGCACTGAAGCAAAATCATTGCAGGTTAAAGAACATGCGATGCCAATTGAAGAACAAGAAGATGTAATTGAAGAAAATGCAACTCAGGTTGAAGGAGACGTAAAATCAGATGGTATTGAAGCAACATCATTGCAGGTTGAAGAACATGTGATGCCAATTGAAGAACAAGAAGATATAACTGAAGAAAATACAACTCAGGATGAAAAAGAAGTAAAATCAGATGGCATTGAAGCAAAATCATTGCAGATTGAAGAACATGTTATGCTAATTGAAGAACAAGGGGATGTAACTGAAGAAAATGCAACTCGGGTTGAAGAAGACGTAAAATCAGATGGCATTGAAGTAAAATTATTGCAGAAGAAGATCCTAATTGAAGAACAAGGGGATGTAACTGAAGAAAATGCAACTCGGGTTGAAGAAGACGTAAAATCAGATGGTATTGAAACAACATCATTGCAGGTTGAAGAACATGTGATGTCAATTAAAGAACAAGAAGATATAACTGAAGAAAATACAACTCAGGTTGAAAAACAAGTAAAATCAGATGGCATTGAAGCAAAATCATTGCAGATTGAAGAACATGTTATGCTAACTGAAGAACAAGGGGATGTAACTAAAGAAAATGCAACTCTGGTTGAAGAAGACATACAATCAGATAGTATTGAAGCAAAATCATTGCAGGTTGAAGAACATGTGATGGCAATTGAAGAACATGTGATACCAATTGAAGAAAATGTGATGCCAATTGAAGAACAAGAAGATGCAACTGAAGAAAATATAACTGAGGTTGAAAAAGAAGTAAAATCAGATGGCGTTGAAGCAAATTTATTGCAGGTTGAAGAAAACTCAAAAAGTGATGTGACTGAAGAAAAATCAAAGCAGGTTGAAGAACAAGGTGCTAAAACAGCTGACATTGAAAAAAAACTAATGCAACTTGAAGAAGTTGCAGAAACAGATTCCACTGAAGAAATTACGCCGGAAGTTAAAGCAGAAGATTCAGCATCACCAAAATCTGAACAATGTAAACCCTCTAGTGAAGTTAAAGGATCTGAATCGACAGAACCACAAAAAGAGTCTTCTGTGATTACTTATATTGAGGAAACTTCTGAAGTAGACATTTCAAAACCTATTGAAAATGAAGGGTGTTCAGAGGAATCGTCAAATTTGACTGAAAATCAGGAAATCGAAGCAGAATCGGATTTGAAACAAGGAGATGAGGTGGGGGTGCAATCTGTTAAAAGCAAAAATGAAGAATTTGTAGACGCTTTAGAAAAAGTAGAATCGGAAGCAGTTGAATTACAGAAAGAAAGTGCTACTGAAGATTTAAATAATGAGCAATTAGTGAAGGCGAGTGATGACGTTGTTGTAGAAGAGAAACATATTAAAAAATTAGTTGAAAATGAGGATGATTGTGATGATATTAATGAAAGTCCGGAAGAAACTACAGATGATGCCAAAGACGTTTCTGGAAATATTGTAGCTGGGAAGAAATTTAAAAAATTAGAAGGCAATCAAAAATTAAAAGAAGAATCTACTGTTCCAGCAACCGAACCAGAAAATTCCATGATCAACAAAGAAACTGAAATGGTTTCGGAAAAAGTGAATCCCAAACCAATTCTAGAAAGAAAACAGTCTCACTTGGCAGATTTAGAATTTGCTCCTCTTCAACTGTCCGAAGATGATTCCGATGATTCGGAACCGGTACCCAGATTAGCATTGGAACCAGACGATTCCAACAGCCCAGCTGTAGCAGAAGTTAACGAATTACCTGCTGAGGACACTGCCGAAACTCAACCGGTTGAAGAAATTGAAGATAAACTGGTCTATATACCACCTGTGGTGCAACCTGTAACTGTAATGCGACATGTAGTACAACCGGTAGTGCCTCTGACTAGAAACATTTCTGGTAACCAGCTGGTTGTATCCATGGCGGGTTGCTTGCAAAAGATGGATGGTCTTAAGCACACTGAACCAGAACGAATAGTTAGCGAAAAGGAACGCAAAGAAATGGAAGCTTTGGCACTAGCCATTCAAAGCATAACTGATAATTCCAATTCATATATGGATGAATACATGGAACCGATCGTTGAGGAGAACTTACAATATGAAACTAATTTGCAGGAGGTTATCCAAGAAGAGGGTGTCATTGAACCTCTTGTTAGTCAAGAAGCGGTTGCCATAGAAGCTCCTATTGAACAAGAAGACATTGTCATTGAACCTTCTGTTTGTCAAGAAGATGCTGCCATTGAAGCTTCTGTTTGTCAAGAAGAGGCTGCCATTGCAGCTTCTGTTTGCCAGGAAGACTCCACCATTGAAGCTTCTGTTCGTCAAGAACAGTCTGCCATTGAAGCTTCTGTTTGTCAAGAAGAGGCTGCCATTGAAGCTTCTGTTTGTCAAGAAGAGGCTGCCATTGAAGCTTCTGTTTGTCAAAAAGAGGTTGCTATTGAACCTCCAGTTAGTAAAGAGCTGGAATCAGTTATGGAATCTCAAAATATAGAACCAGATAGTTCGGAAAATGAAAGTAACCAAGAGGCTGTTTCTGATCAATCAAGTCTTGAGGTAACATCGACTCAAGAGATTGAGTCTGTAATTTCAACGGAAATACAAGAAAGTCAGGTTCAGGAAGAGCCTAAAGTCGATTCGGAGGCAGCTTCATTAAAATCGACGGAAACGGACCAAGATGAACCTGCTGAAGTTAAAAATGAGAACAAAATTGAAGAGGGTGTGAGGGAAAGAGATCAAAAGGCTAATGAGGCTGTAGAAGAAAAAGCTACAGTAGAGGAGGATAAGGAAGTGGCAGAAAAAAAGTATAAAGACATTGTTGAAGTGGAAGATAAAGGGGCGGTAGCAAAAGAAGTTAAGGAAGCGATAGTAGAAGTAGCTAAAGAACCAATAGAATCAACTAAAGAAGTTGAGGTAGAGAGTGTTAATAAGGTTACAGAGGCCGCAGTTAATGAAACTATACAGGACAAAGTTAGTGACGTAGACGTTGTTTCGAAAGAAAATGCGTCCCAAAGCAGCGAAAATTCTCAAGATTCTATCAATTCTACCAACGAAGTGCCTATCAAAGAAGGTAAACGAACCAGGTCAAATGAAAAATCCAAAAAGCACAAAAAAGGAGATAAATACGAGGAATTGACGATTAACGTCGACGTCCCCGACAAAGAAATAACTTACAGCCCGAAAATAACGATCAAACCGATCAAAATGCACGATGATGAGGTCAGTACAACCACTTCTTCCGAATGCGAAGTGTTTAAAGGCAGCTTGAAGATGACCATCACCAAACAGTCCGATAAGATGCATTCTATATTGAAAATCAGTGATCAGGATAATTCGGAGGCCGGTTCTGAACAAGACGAGCCCATTCCGAAGTTGATCATCAAACCAAAGATACAACAGGTAAAGTATTTTTTCCGTATCAGCATATGATTAATTTAAATCTGTGTTACTACTTTAAATACGAATTTCTGCAAAAACTCATTTTCTATCGATTTTATAGTAAATATGGCGGGATACAAAATTGATTATATGAGTATACCAATAAGGTCAAAACATACAGTTAAATCACCTAAAATTGATTCTATATTATTTCAGTAATTTCGCACCTCTCTCCCCCTCCTTTAATTTTAAACAATGTCCTTTTTTGGACCCTTCCCTTGTCTTTTGATCCACAAGTTTATACTTTTACACGACGAATTGATTTTAAAGTGATTTCGGTAATGGTTTCGATCATGATTTTCAATGAAAATTTCGGAAATTTCGAGAAATTTGCAGTTATTTTGGTGAATTCTAGTGAAAACGTACCAGTATTTCGTGAGTGGTTCACCCCTTTGAGTATGAAGATAAGTTTCATTAATTTTTTTTAATACATGGCAAAATTTAAAAAAAAAATTATTTTAGCTGTGGTTTTTAGTAAAAACTTTTTACTATTTAAAACGTTTCGTTTTCTAGTTTGATATCGAGGGCCCAGAGCGAAAATCCTATATGTAATAAAATTTAGTTATGAAGATATTTGCATTTTAAGATTTTTTGATTCTTTTGGATCTTTTGTGCCCTCTAATTACAAATTAAACGCTTCTGATAGTTTGCCTGCGTCAGTTTATAGTAAATATAACGATTAAATGGATTGATTTTAATTTTTTTCTAAATTGAAGTTTGCTTTAGTTATTCCGAAATTACTGATTATTAAAGAGTTCTGAAAAGTAATCAGACACGTTATTATCCTGTAATAATTAAGTAATATTGTTAGTTTATTAAAAAACCCTGAAAAAATATAATTTTTATCCAGTTACCATTCCATTATATAAAAATGTTTGGGACCTGTGCCCCTTAAGCCTGCCCCGTGTAAAAATATTTGGTGCCTCTGCAATCAGTTTATGTAAAAATATTTGGGACCTATACCCCTTAAGCCTACCCATTTAAAAATATTTGGTCCCTGTACCCCTTACACACCTTCCCAAGTAAGAATATTTGCCCCTTTAACTTTTAACTCTTTAAATCTTTGCACCTAAGCATAAACATATAAAAATATTTGAGCACTTTACCTCTTAAGCCTGCCAATGTAAAAATATTTGGTCTATTTATCTCTTAAACTATTGCCTCTCAGATCAAAATATTTGGTTTGTCTATCTAAAAATATTTATGCTATTTATCCCTTAAGCTTACCCATATAAAATAGTTGGGACACTTTAATTCGTGAAGTAAAAATATTTGGCCTTTTCCTCTTGCTCGCATGTATTAATATATCGAAAAATAATATTTGGACTCGTTTTCTTTTTAATCCTAATATTAAATTCAGATACAAGTTCCATTCTGGAGTTCGTTAAAAATTGTTCAAAAATCGTCACTATCTTATAGATTATTCTCGGAAGTTACACATTTATTTCATCTTTAAGCTATTATTTTCACTTATTACTTTCAATTATAATGAAATAAAATCTTTTAAAGAACGTTCAAAAAATGTTAAATAATGTATTTAACATTTAAGAGTGACAGCAGTATAGAAAAAATATCAGGTTTCACAGTTGACAAGCATGAACATCCATATAGTGAAATCACTAACCTTGTTGCAGTCCATAGAATAAGCTCCATAAGAAATGCAATGCATTTTAAAAATATTGATATTTAAAGTACTAAAGTTAAACCGAAAATTATGAAAATCAATAGGGTTTTTAGCTAAGAAGAAATTGTTAAAGAAAATCAAAACTACAAGTACAGACGTACAGAAGAACATTTTTTTTATTTTTGTATTTTGAATAATCGGAAGCGTGCAGAAATGTGTTAAAAAGTGGGAGTAAAAAAATGATTTCGTCGACACGAATGCAATACTGAAGTCCCGTAGGTAGGGGCCTCAGTAATACTTCACGCAATACATTTTTTTTTAATTGAATGAAAAAAAAAAAATTAATTTCTAGAAAGTTAAATTTTAAATGTTTACATATGTTGTTTTTAGATTATAAATATTTGTAATGAATAATAAGATAAACTACACTCTGTAAGATAAGGTTTTGTAACTATCAATAAAAATTATATGTATAAATAAATATAATTATTTCGCCTTGTTTTTATTTTATATCTGTAGAATGTCCCCTTCTACACTCGGGAACGAAACAAATCCAGCTTTTATGATTTTTTTTACCACTCATTTTACTTGTACTGGTGTACTTTTCTCACATATTTTTTTTATACATTTCGCCAATTTTTGTAGAACACTTTAATTCACATTCAGTTATATGAAAATTAAAGTCATTTACGAAGGAGCCGCCACGTACCGTGGTCCTTTTGGCGAACCGTACAAAAACGTGAACGGAAATTGATATTTTGCCACTGTTGATTCGCCTTTACATATCTAGTCTTCATAGTAGCAACAAAACATTTTAAAATTTGAATATTCGATTTTTTCTCAACTACTTAGTAATTATTTTTTAGAGATAAAAATTTGCTAAGATATTTCTCTATCAAAAATTTTATACACATTTTTTATACTTTATCGCTGTTTTTAATCCTATAATAATAAAACAAGGTCTTTGTGTAACAAATCTGAAAAGGCGAAGATTACCTAATCTTTTTGTTCTTTATCTCTCGTCAGTTGTTCAAACAAAATTAATTCGTAGGTCGAGAGCCAACACAGTCCAAAAATGTCGACCAGAAGTTCTAAAGTATCGCCGACGGTGTCCAATCAAAGATCTGGCAGTCCTAGAATATTGATAAAGCCGCTGGCGAAGCCTGATAAACAGGAACCCGTCAGTCCGCTCAAAATTAAAATCAACACCAAAGCCAACTCGAAGACTATCTCCAAAGAAGACGAGACGTCTAGGAAAGTGTCGATCAAACCTATGAAGATCGTCGACGAATCTGAACAAGTTCAGAGTCCCAGAATTACTATTAAACCCATTCCGAAACCCGATTCGGAGAAGGAAGTCGCTAATCCAAGATTAACGATAAAACCGATTAGAAAACCGGAAGAGGACGTCGAGAATGAAGATAAAGAGAGATCCAGTCCAAAAATTATTATCAAACCTGTGATTAAACCACAAGAATCCGATACTCATACGGAAGAAGAAGATGGTGTGAAAGAGCGGATCGTACTAAAAATCAACAAGGGCAATCTTCCTAGTCCAGTGAAGGAATCGAAAAAGCGGGAACACCCTCCGGATGATGATAAGTCGGAGAAATTGGCCAAAATTACCGTTAAATTTTCGAAAGGGGGCGGCCATCCCCATATTGTGCATCAACAGGGCGAAGACACGTCTAAAAGATCTCATGAGGACAATCCGTCAAATACCGAGAAGAATAAGAAGCAGAAAATTGACTCGGATGTTGTTGTGTTGACTAGGTCGAGCGCCAGACACAAAGACCAAGTTGAAGGTAATTAACTCTTAGTTGAAAAGTTAATTTACATCTTTTCATCCTTTTCTTTTTTTTTTTTTAGCCAATGATAAATCGAGTCCTACTTCCGAAGCGAAGACGAAGCACAAAGACCATCACGCGCAAGAATCGCCGATCGAAACGAAAAGACCGCGCAAAGACAATCTGAATGACAAATCGAAGCTATTGAAAGACGACATGTCCGAGGAATTGCTATCGATCGACACTAAAGTAGACTCTCCAATAGTTATTAGCGAGGACTCTAGATCTCAGGTAAATATTAACGAAAACGATATTTTTTTTATATTATATACTACCAGGTCTCTTTATTTCATATAGTAAAAAAAATATTTTTTGAAATAAAAAATAAAATTGTTTTAAAACAAAGTTTAAAATATTTCTCTTTTACCTTTTCTTTTTTACTATATTTTTTTATTTCATATCTTTTTGTTCTCTGTCTCTTTTTTACAATCTCTTTTTTCATATCTTTTTAATCTTATTCTTTATTATCATAAATTCTGTAAAAAATTAGGCTGCATCATATAATAAAAAGCCAAGTAAATTGGAAAGTGTACCCTTTTTGTTTAGAAATTAGGATTTATTTTATAAAACAAAAATAAAGTACACTAAAATAAGTTGTGGTAACTGTAATATGTAAAGAATACAATACAAAGTGTCCCCTAGCGGATACAGTCCAATGGTGTTCATAAAATGGTTTTTCATACCAAAAAAACTCACGTATACCAACTTTTAATGCGACATGTTTACGATATTTAAAATTAATTTGTTCTCTTACTCTGTAACTGGCAATTTTTTGACAATCTTTTTTTATTCTTTTTCCCCATTTTTATACTATATACCACTTTTTGTTACCTTTTTTTTTCTTAGTATCTTTACCTCGTATCTATTTTTATCTTTTTTTTTTTAATCACTCATTTTTTGTTCTCTATCGCTCTTAACTTTATCTCTTTTTTATTCTTATTTTTTGTTCTCTGTTATGTATTTTTGTTAAGTATCTCATTTTTTGTTCTTTCTCTTTTTTGTTCTATATCTCTATCATTTTTTGTTCTCTATCTCTTTTTATTTTCTATCACTATTGTTGTATTTTATGTTATCTCGCTTTTTCATCTATTCTTTCTCTCGTTCTCTTTATTTTAGTATTCCATCACTTTCTGTTCTCTATCTCCTTTTTTTGTACTGTCTCCTTCTTTTGTTCTACATCTCCTTTTTTGTTTTTATCTCCTTTTTTGTTCTATATCTCTTTTTTGTTCTATATCTCCCTTTTTGTTCTATATCTCCTTTTCTGTTCTATATCTCCCTTTTTGTTCTATATCACCTTTTTTGTTCTGTCCCCTTGTTTGTTCTATATCTCCATTTTTGTTTCAATAGACGGCTTTTTTCAGGATAGCAGTAGTGTAATTCTTTTAGACGAAAGCAAGGACGACAGCGTGTCTTCGGATACGATCAGAACCCCGGATAGCACAAAGTCGATACAAAAAGCCGTTGCTTTGAATACGGGTTCCGCCACCCCTTCGCCGGTACTCAAACGAGGGAGAGGACGGCCCCGAAAGGTACGTTGTACTCTATGGAAAGTAATTATTTATATTATTTTGATAAAATTTTCGTTTGCTCAGGTACCGCTGAGTGTGCGAGAACAGCCGAACCCATCTATCAAGGAATCTCCGAAACTGAAGGAGCACCCACAATCCAAAGAGTCAGATGCGTCGCCAGCGCCGCAGCAGTCGGTGCAGGTGCGCGAGTCAGGCAGGCCGAAGCGGAGCTGCCGCGGGCAATCCGTTTGTGATACGCTCGGTATAAAACCGAGGAAACCTCGAGGTGGGGGTCGGGGGAGGGGCAGCAAAAGAGGAATGGGCAGTAGACTTGTTGTGGAAAGGGTGAGTTTTTGATTCTATTATTTTTATATAAGGGTTGTTTCAGAATAAAGTACCGTAAGCTGAGGGATATGTAGATCTTCATTAATTATTAAGAAACGCTAATTATAATTTTCCTGTAAACGTTTCAGTTTTCATTCTACAAGGTCCAATGTGAATTTGGCAAATATATAATTTTTTAAACATCTTCCCAAGCCGGTGAGGCTAGCCGCGAGTTTAGTGTGCATCCACATTCTCGCAAAAATTTAGCAGTGACCACTAGGAGGTTCCACTTTGGGCCGTGTCACCGTGGGACTTAGCCAACTAGCTTTTAAACACCGGTGGAATAAATGGCAGGGGTCACCGTCATCAAATAGTTTCATTTGATTAGAAATCATACGTTTCTATTCTTCATGTAAACAGTTGCGATCACGGTGAACGAACAACGGACGGTGTTGAAATTTGACATATCTTTATAGAGTTTGTACTTTAAATAAACCTAGGATCATTTATTGTTCCGAACATTTTGAGTCAGGTATTGAAATTATTTTACGGAAAAATATGTTACGACACATTTTACTTCAACGTGCATAAATAACACTGCCACAGAACCCTTAAGTACTTTAGTTCCCATTTGACTTATTTGACAAAACTAAACGCAAAACGAACATCACAAAACATCTGTCAAAATGTAAAAGTTCGTAGAAGCGACTATAATTTGCGTTTTTACGTTTTAACAAATGGTTTAAAAAAAAAGCTGTTTCGAGTTTGCTCGTTAACCGTCACCGATTCGTAATCATACGAAACCGTTTGATGACAGTGTACGAGCCCATTGACGCTGAACGAGGGAGTGAATTGGTGAATGGGAAAGTAGTAGGACCTTCAAATGGTTGCAGGCTGCAGTGCCGCCAGGCTACCAGACGAATTTGGGTGATAACACGGGGATTTGAAAGGTGTATAACTAAACAAAAAAAATATTCCCTTAGAGTAATAACAATAACTTACAAATATGTATAGGGTATCTCATTAAGTGTTGTTAGCAGCCGTATCTCAGAATATCTTAAAATATAAGGTCGATTTTTATTTAATTTCTCTCCCCCCTCCCGTCACTAACCAATACAATTTAAATGGGGAAAGTACTAAGTATGACCCATCATCAAGAAGGTCATTTTATGGAAAATACAGCGATATGACTGTTCATTGTATTACTTTTAATTTTAGCGCCCTCTAACAGGATAAAAACTGTTACGTATTGTGTGACACTTCTTCTAATTTTATTAGTCATTCAACGCACTACATAATATTATGTTAACTAAATATTATAGAAAGTTGTCTTCATTGAAATAAAAATCGAACTGTTTTTGAGGTTTTTCCAAAAAAGAACCTTCAAGATATTCTGAGAGGCGGCCACTAACAGCCCTTAATCAGACACCCTGTATATTGTTAGTAAATCACAATTATTTATTTCGATAAATTGCAATAACCCTTTGGCATAGAATCAGGGGCTAAGAAAATAATTTGATCCAGACTTGTTTAATAATATGCTCTATTTAATAAAAGTTATGGTTCATAATTATTCCTCATGCGATTTGTCACAAAAAATATACTCTGTTGATTTCTGTAAACTATTCCATTTCCGCAATTTTTCAGCTTTAGACCTTCCCGCACATAGTTTAAGATCCGAAGTAAGGTCGACCTTCACCCATCTGTTTAACGGATGAAAGTTTTTTTTTATTAAATAAAACACCTTCGGATCCTGTACTAACATGAAAGCTATGTACTGTATGTCAGAGGCGGGTCCAGACCAGATGTTTGGGAGGGGAACTTTTATATAAACGAAATTTACTGATAGATTTAATTTTTTTTTATCCCCCTCGTAGGGGACAAAAATTACTACCTAGTAAATAATAAAGTTTTTATTAAAAATGTTTTTTTTTTAAACCATCCAATGGTTACACTTCTCTGCAAGTTAAAACCTACAATAAAGGAAAGATGTATGTATGGTATTGAAATAAAACAGCCCTATTGATAATTTATCGAAATAAAGTGTATTAACTAATAATGTTGATTAACTAACATGTACATATTTTTAAGTTAATGTCTTTACCTGCAGTGGGATTCTTATCATTCGATTCGATACGTATTGAGACACCTATCTTCGTTTGACATATTCGAAACATATTGTGTTGAGTTTGCACATGAGAATCCCTGTGCAGAATGACAGATATTTAGAAAATTATGTATTCAAGTAATTCACTTTATCGCCCTGCAGAATGGAAACTAGCACATTTACAGGAAAATTATATTAGGTTTTTCTTAATAATTAGGTCTATATGTCACACATTTTAAGGTACTTTATTCTGAAATCCTATAGATACGTATACAGAGTTGGTAAGAGCAAACCTTTTGCCCCTACTTTGCTTGTCTTTGGAAAGAAAGTAAATAGCTTTACCATGTGTAGGATAAGAAAGGATATGGTATTGACATTGCCAGTTACAGATCGATAAGGCACTAACGACAGGGTTGTTACGGACTTATTTTTCAAAGTGTAGCAATCTAACAAAATTGTGTAGCATTGTGCACCTACGAGTGATAGATGGTGAAAGTGTCAGTTGACAGCAATAATTTAAAATAGCATTGATGCATGCAACATCTTTTTTCTAATTCCTCATTTATTTCTAATGTTTTATTTCGTTTCACTCGGTTATTGTTATTAGTAGCCGCTAGATGGTACATGAACCAGAAAATTTTTGAGTAATTTTATTCAAATAAAGAGAAGGAAAACACATAGTGTACTGTTTTGTGCAGTTTGTTAAAAATGTTGTTTAGCCTTTTGCAACTCACTACTGACCTGTGACTAGCAACGTTGATACTGTGTCCTTTATTTTCCTGCATTATCTACTATTCACTCTTAACACAAGCAAAGCCTGACCGAGGGGGTGATTTTGCCAGCATGGTATACTATTATTATAGTGTCGATAGTCGAAATTTTTAGTATTTTTTTTTTTTTATAATTTCATCTTTTCATCTTCTGGGTCGTCCATAGTTAATAATTATGAATGTCCTTTATTAGTCTACTTATACAGGGATTTAAATTCGGTCCAGGATTTCTTTTTTCTTAAAATGGATGCTTTTAATTCTTTATTTTACTGAACATCATACAAAGTACATACTGTTCACACGTACGACATCTGCCAATACGATGATCCGAAAATATTTCTATTTGCTGATGATAAAAAAAAATATGGTGGGATTATTTTCACGAAACTTTTAACTATTCGTCCTACATCGGAGACGTTGAATAAACTTTAACTTTTATTCGGTTATCCTGTACTTTTGAAACTAAAATGGAGAATGATTATTGTGAGGAGCAAATCAGTAAGGTCAAACCGTACCCGTATATCGCAAATCACCTACAATTGATTTTATATGATTTCGGTGATTTCGCCGAAAATTCTCCTTAATTTTATGTGATTACCTTTTTTTTATTCTTCCCTTGTGTTTTGATCCACAAGCTGCTGCATTTATATTTTTGAGCGACGAATTGATTTTAAAGTAATTTCGGTGATGGACCATGATTTTCGTGAAATTTGTAAGGATTTCGAGTGAAAACGTATCAGTGGTTCACCCCTCGGATTGTTGTAAAAAATAGTAAATGACAAACACGGTTCTGCTACTAGTAAGTCTTTATGTCTCAAATTAAAAATTACAAGTGGTGTACTATATTACAGAAAATTAGGTTAACTGACAAAGAAACATATTTTCATTATTTGAGAATGGCGACAAATTATAAAAATTAGTGGATATTACGTAAAAAATGTAATTTCAGACAATATAGTTTATTACAAATAAAATAGGCAGGAAAATCTTGTCTTTTTCTTTTTTTTACAATAGTTATTTGAATTGGAGTTAGTCCATCTTTATAAGTTTTCACAAAATGTGTTAAAAATATGTGTATATTAAACAAATAAAATTAACATTATTTTTCCATTACTTCTACAGAATTATTGTCTTTGGAAAACTAGACTTAAAAAAAAATTGTAGGCATTTTTAATAAATTGAGCAGTTTCGTTGCTCTGCAACATTTTTGATTTTCCTTAAAATGTAATAAATAAAAAGTTTCCATGAATTATAAATTATTTTCTTTTTAAGAATAGTTGATACTCACTTGAGTTGATGTTTTGACAATAATCTATATATAAATGTTGTCCAATCTGACAAAAATATAAAAAAAATACTGGCTTTGTCAACAAACTTACTCTGAATGAGCAACTAACTTAGATTAAACATAACAAAATTGCTATTTAAACAAACAACAAATTAGAAAATTAATAACTCAAATTTGTCAAATTTAACGGAGGCCCCCCGAAATTCGAAAATTAAAAAAGCAAGACGATTATGTTTGACCCCCAATAATTTTTTTTTGGGCACCCTCAGAAACAAATATTTTAACAAATTTAATGGCTGAATGCTGTTGACCCCCAAGTTTATATTTATCAAAAGTGAATGCATTCTTGTATTGACCAAGTTTTGACCAATCGTTAAATTGTTTTTTTACCACCCCTTACAAAATAGCTATTTGTGTATTAAAAGCGAATAGTAATACTTTGCCGCTTGAGACAGAAAGCGGCAACGAAATTTTCGCTTAAAATGCACACACGATTTTTTCTACGATCACATTATTTTAATAAATAGATATAAAAACTGAAAATTTGTTGTAAGTAGTGTATAATGTGTTGCATATACCTACGTTTAGCATGAAAAAATGAGTTGATATTCAAAGTACGAGTTAACTTAGATAATATAACAAAAACATGTAACTACGTACAAATAACTTTCCAATCATTTATTATTATTAAAAAGAAATATTATATTATATTTAAATTAGGCGAGCAACAAAGCTGTCAATTTTGTCGCTCGGCCAGCGACAAAGCTCTCATTTAATGTCAGTTCGCGGAAAACGTCAACTTTGCGGTTAGATTTCGAAGCGCAAATTCATACTTTGGATAGTGATCATAGAAAAA